GGCTTTTTAAACAGTCAGTTTCAGAAAAATTTCAATGAACTGAAATATTCCTCTCCCACTCCTTTGGAAATATTTCATACCACATATATTGCCAGAGATGAGCCTGTGTTGTTTTAAAGTTTCAAATGTAGAAACATATCTATAGGAGTATTTCACATTTTAATAGAGATAAATATGGAGAGCTACTTTACCAGACTCTTTTTACCATGTGTATCTTAGTTATGATATGTGAGTGTTTGGTAGTTTACCACCTTTGAACTGACCATAGCCCTCATGGAGTATCTTTATTTTTAGAGAGTGGAACCGAAACAGTGGATACTTGATTCATGGCTTAATCTGAAGGCTTTTGCTTTCTAGAAGGACCTTTAAATCTTAAATATGCTCTCTATATGTGTAGTTGTTTGATGTGGGAGGTGACTATAGTGTTTCCTTTTAGATAAATTGGTAATGACTGTTTTTTATGTAAGAGTAAGGGAGAATATAAAGTTTTCTCTATCTTGAAATTCCAGCAGAATGGTGATTTTAAAGGCTGAAAGCAGCTCAGAGGACAGTGTCATCAGCAGTACTAGCTGCTAAGAAGGCCTTCTACAAGTTATGTGATGTGTTAGGCAGTGGAGCAAGACATTCTTGAGCAAAAGGAAACACTAGGTAATTTCAGTAGTGGCTAATAATAGCTAAACAGTCCATTTAGATTGTTGCTATGAGGCTTAGTACCCAGGCCTTTTAAATGCCATTGATCAGGTTTAAGAGAATGATATCTTCTAAAGTTCTAATTCAACAGTTTATTTTCATAGGGTGGAGTATATCAGATAGACAAGAGATAGATCCTTTAAAGTAAATGGTGACAAGAACATATATATACACCCACACACACACACATACACGTATTTTTTGGGACAGCACTGAGCCAACATATATGTTTTGATAATACAAAGTTTCTTAAAGAAATTTATAATCTTAAGGGAAATGTATGTGTACTAAATGTGACTGTTAAAAATTCTCATGGAGGAAAAATAATATATGAGCTAATCTGATACCTCCTGGCATCTTTCTTGACTTTTCTAATATTGAGAAAGTCAGTGGGCCATTATTTTGATCTCAGAAAGTAAAAAGCAGCCTTTTGGCGATGGGTGGGAGAGTATCTGTTCTTTTCTTTTCACTGAGTGCAGAATGCAGAACTTCCTTTTTTTTTTTTTTTTAAGAGAGAGAGTCTTACTTTGTCACCCTAAGTAGAGTGCTGTGCCATCACAGCTCACAGCAAACTCCAGCTCTTGGGCTTAGGTGATTCTTTTGCCTCAGCCTCCTGAGTAGCTGGGACTGGTGCCCACCACAATGCCTGGCTATTTTTCTGCAGTTTGACCAGGGCCGGGTTCGAACCTGGCACCCTCAGTATATGGGGCCGGTGCCCTACTCACTGAGCACTGTCCCAGAACTTCTTTGTATAAATATTACTGTACTGCTTAAAATGTTGTTTTCAGATGGACCAGTTAATCTTTCCCAAAGGTTAAACAAATAAGGAATACAATTATTTAGTGGTACAAATATGGTGATCCCTGTGTTCATGCAATAAGCACTTGGAAGCTCTTTAATTCTGAGGTGTTCAGCTTTGAGAAAATGAACTTGAGAAAAGAGAGACCTCATTTCCACTTGTAGCAAGAGTTATCCTACTTCTTTAAAGTTAGAATCAATAATAACCCTCATGTCCTCATGGTTTGTTTTGTTTGGAGGCAGGGTCCTGTTTAGTTGTCCAGGCTTGAGTACAGGTGGCATGATCATAGCTTACTTAACCTTGAACTCGTGGGCTTAAGTGATCCCCCTGCCTCAGCCTCTTGAGTTGAGTAGCTGGGACTATGGCCTGTACCACCACACTCTGGCTAATTTTTAAATTTTTTTGTAGAATAGGGACTCAGTATGTTGCCCAGGTTGGTCTCAAACTTGCTTCTGCCTGGGCCTTGTAATGCATAATGATTATAGGCGTGAGCCACCATCCCTGGACCCTCATGGTTTTGAATAATCAAACCTAAATCCCCAAGATGTACAGAATGATCAATTTATCTGAATTACCTTAAATTTGAACAGTGAAGCTATTCTCAGTCTTTTCTTTCCCTGTCTCTCATGGAGATACTAGGCTAACTTTTCCCTTTCTTTGCCATCTTTAGAAATTTAAGTGCTCTAATTACCCCCAGTAATTATGATAGAAAAGTAATGTTAGCTTTATTTGTAGGTGTTTCTGTTTTCCAATGAGGAATGCTAGAGAAAGTATTTCCTTTCATTTTGCAATTGATGCAAAGATGTAGGATTCTCTATAGAAATGAAGATTTTTTTTCCCACAAGTTTGTTGAACTTCTTGCCAGAGCTAATTGTGTTAAAGTACAGACTGGGAATAAATTTTTGTGATGTCAGCTAAATTCTACAAATGTCTCTGTGCCACCCAGGTGCTAAGATACTACAGGGTGTCCATAAAGTTCTTGTGCAATGTAAAAGAGCCAGCTATTTTGAACAGGAACTTTATGGCCATGCTGTATAATGGAGGCTGGGCACAGTGGCTCATACCTGTAATCCTAGCACTCTGGGAGACCAAGATGGGTGGGTCGGTTGAGCTCAGGAGTTCAGACACTAGCCTGAACAGGAGTGAGACCCTGTCTCTACTAAAAATAGAAAAAACCAGCCAAGTGTTGTGGCAAGGTACCTGTAGTCCCAGCTACTTGGGAAGCTGAGGCAAGAGGATTGCTTGAGCCCAGGAGTTTGAGGTTGCTGTGAGCTATGATGCCGTGGCCCTCTACCCAGGGTGACAGAGTGAAACTCTGTCTCCAAAAAAAAAAAAAAAATACTATAATGGGTTCTCAGTGGAGAAGAGAGGAAGAAATATCAAATAAATAAATAAAACTATTTGTCATACGTGGAGTATTAGAAATATACCCAAGGTGAAGAAGTTCTGCTGAGGAGAGAACAGAGTCATTAGTTCTCTCTAGGTAGGAAGGAGAGAATGGAGATGGGCAATATGGGCAGCTCCATAGAGAGGGTAATGCCTGAGTAGAGTTTTGAAGAATACTTGTCACGTGAAGAAGATGGAGAAGGACGTTTCAGACAAGTCTCAGAATTGTGGAATAGTTGGTGTTGTGGGGAGCTACAAGTAGTTGGATGTGACTGAGACACAGAGTGGGAATGAAGCTGGAGAGATAGGTCAGTGGAAATGTTTTTTATTGAACAGAAATAGCCCATCATAAAAATAGATCAAGCAAATGGTGATCTTTAGAAACTTGTTATATTGGCTATAGCAATTGTTTTTGCTTTGAGATAATTTGACTTCATAATATATGAACTTCACATACCTAAGTTAACAGATGGAACAGTCATTTTTTGAAACATGACAGGAATGGAAAGAATATTTGTGCAGTATCATCTTGATACTGAACTTGTGTATTTGGGATATTAGGCAGAAGTTTAGGACCTGAGGGAAACATGCAAATTTGCATAAAGAGACATGCACAAAAATTTATTGCAGCATTGTTTCCAGTGGTAAAAAATTGGAAACAAATGAAATGCCATCAATAGGAGAATGAATAAAGTGCAGTGGGTTCATATAATGGGCCATTATTCAGGTGAACAAATTTGGTGTATTAACATAGATATATCTCTAAGCCAATGTTAATCCAAATAAAATTGCAAACATAAGTATGTTGAAGTTTAGATAAAATTTTAAATTAGGTGAGACAATATTATGTATAGTTTATAGATACGTACATATATGGAAAACGCATTCAAAATACATAGAAAAATTCTGAATAGTGTGCTTTTTTTCTGGGGAGAGAGGAAAGGGATGGGTTTGTGGTGGGGTGCCACAAAGATTCAGCTGTGCATGTAGGAATAAATTGTTAAATACTCTTTTTAGGAGTAATGATCTGAACTAAATGTGGCAAAATGATAAAATTTGTGAAAATTGGGTGGTAGGTACTTAGGTATTTTGTTATTCTTGAGACTTTTCTGAAGACATAAAGGAGAGTCAGATAAGTTGATCCATGGAGACATAAAAGCTTGCAATGATAAAATTAAGTTTTTCCAGGTTAAAAATGGGCTTGATGGAGGTGAAATGCTCCCCAAGAGGAGGTGCTTCAGCAGATCGGGGTGAAAAGAGAGAGGTGGGATGAGGACCGAATAGGTCTAATTCAGTCAGATGTTCCAGCTAATGATTTCTTTTTCTTGATATTCTTTAGAGAAATATGAAACGCAATGGAAGCAGAAATTGTTTGAATAGGAGGAGTAGGTTTGGTTCTCGAGAAAGAGACTGGCTGCGAGAAGATGTGAAGAGAGGCTGTGTTTACCTTTATGGAGCAGACACTACCACTGCCACTCCAACCACCACCTCCTCTTCTTCCTCCTCCTCTGACTTGCATCTTGTCCTTTGCACAGTAGAGACACCAGCATCAGAAATATGTGCTGGAGAAGGCAGAGAAAGTCTTTATTTACAGCTCCACGGAGACCTGGTCAGGTGAGGTCTGAGTTTTACCACTTGAATTCTACTGCAGTATAAGTAATACGTGTTTCTGGTTAGAAGTGAACTTTAGGATTTTAATTGTGCTGGATCTCCTGTTGATTATGGAGTCATTAGGCTTGAAAAAAGATTTGTCTTTGAAATGTTGACTTTGAAAACTCTTGGCAAAGGAATATTTGAGAGTTCTTTCATTGTGAATATACCACAGGTCAGATATTTAAATGAGATTCTTTTCTTTCCATCATTCCCCACTACCCAGACCTTTTCTTTTCCTTTTTTAAAATTTCAGATTAATATAAGGGTATAAATGATTAGGTTTGTGTTTGTTAGGTAAAGTCCAGGTTGTAGGTGAACCTTTCACCCAGGCAGTGTGCCATATACGCCTACATTGCACCTGTTAGGTGAGAACTTACCTTCTCCCCCCTGCTTAATTTAATTGTGTTTTTCTCTTACGTGGGTGTCTAATTGTTCATTTAATGGTTTTGTACTAGTATTGAGTACATCGGATACTTGATTTTCCATTTTTGTGATACTTAGGATGTTCTCCAAATCCATCCAGGTACATACAAAGGCTGTAAAGTCTCTATCTTTGTAGCTGAATTACCCAGACCTTTTCATGAAGACAGTTGTTATTATCAGTTTCTTAGGCATCCTAGGGATATTCTGTGCAATTGTAAGCATATAAGCTTTTAAAATACATTTTAAAAAGCATTTTTAAAGTAATGGTGCAGTATGCCACACATTGTTGACTTAGTAGTATCTTGGGGATCTTTTCATGTTTATGTAGTTCTCATTTAATGGCTGTAGTCGTATTCCATTTTATGAGTCTATCGTAATTGTAGGTAGTCTATAAATGAGCAATCAAGTTGTTACCAGATTTGTAGCACTACAAGTAGTAGTGCAAGTAGTGCTACAGTGAATATCCTTGTACCTTTGATGTCTTTCATATGTGGGCGTCTATCTACATGATAAACTTATAGAAGTGGAATTTGCTGGATCAAAGGATATAAGCATTTATAATTTTGATAGATATTATAAGATTTCTCTTTATAGAAGTTATATTTTCATTAAAAATATAAAAGTAGGGCTGCATGTGGTAACTCACACCTATAAACCCAATACTTTGTGAGGCCGAGGGAGAAGATCACTTGAGTCCAGGAGTTCCAGACCAACCTGGGCAACATAGTAAGACCTCATCTCTACAAAAAGTTAAAAGATTGCTGGGCATGGTGCACACCTGTAGTCTTAGCATACTAAGAAGGCCTAGGTGGGAGGATTGCTTGAGCCCAGGAATTCAAGGCTGCAGTAAGTTTTTATTTGTTTGTTTGTTTTTGAGACAGAGTCTCACTATGTCACCCTAGGTAGAGTGCCATGGTGTCACAGCTTACAGCAACCTCCCACTCTTGGGCTCAAGCGATTCTCTTGCCTCAGCCTCCCAAGTAGCTGGCACTACAGGCGCCCAGCACAATGCCCAGCTATTTTTTGGTTGGAGTTGTTGCAGTTGTCATTGTTGTTTAGCAGGCCTGGGCTGGGCTCAAACATGTCTGCCTCAGTGTATGTGGCTGGCACCCTACTCACTGAGCTACGGGCACTGAGCCTGCTTAGTAAGTTACGATTGTACCAGTGAATTCCACTCTGGGTGATAGACTGAGACCCTGTCTCTAAAAAGAGAAAAAAAGAAATGTATGTGTGTTTATATATATGTGTATGTACGTATAAAGTATGTTTACTTCCTCACTTTCTCTAAAACATGTTAGCATTAAATTTTATATATAAATATAGACATAGATGCACGTGTGAGCTTCTACTTGTTTGCAAACAGAAATGACTGTTGATAGTTGTTAAATTAGAGAATCTTGAGATCAGCATTCTAAGGACAAATCTTTTCTAAGTTTTGTTGACTTAGGGTTTTGCAAATCTGGTATGAATTTTATTTTGTTGTTTTAATTCTCATTTCTCTTAATGGCTATAAGTTGACCATATTTTTTCTAAGTTTAAAAGCTATTTGTGTCTTGAAAATTTTTTATATAAACATGAAAGAAAATTCCTATAGTAGCCTTATAGTATGCATATGAACTCTGTTTTCTTCATTTGTTTGTTTTTGATATTTTTTTCATATGAACTCTTTGAGCTTTACTCGTTCTTTGAATTAGATGTCAAATAGGAACACTTTGAATTTCTGACCAATCCTCATTTTCGGTAATAAAGAAATATCTTAAAACAGAATTTAAAGCTTTGGATTTCATACTGTAGGGAGTGAGAAAGGAAGCTTCCACTTACACCTTAAAGTGTGGTAATAATAGTAACACCTTTTGCTAAGCTAAAACTTGATGTCATTTTGGAAGTGGAAACTCAGGTCTCCTATATCTTCCTTTTAGGATCTGGATTAATTCCTGAAAAAGCAGATGATCATTTGAATGTTTTCTTTGTTCACCAGTTAACTACATTTCCTAAATCCATTTGTGAAACGAAAGGATCAGACTGGGTGATCCTTAGGCTTTTCTAAATCTTAACACTGATTCTGATCTAATTTTATCAGGCGGAAAGCCTTGACCTAGATTGTAGCTGGTAGTGATTGAGTTCACTTATTTAAGCATCTGACTTACTCATTTGGATAGTAATGTTTATGTTTACAAAGATAACAGAAATGTGGAGAAAACCCCACTGGAATTGGCTTGTTACTATTAGTTGTGTAATTAGTAAGTGGCATAGTTTATTTACTTATGTGAATCTACACTGTACTTGAAGTGAGGAAGTTGTCTCTTTTTAGTCCTGTAGCTGTGATCATTTGTAATGAAGTAGCTCTTTAATGAAATAATTGATTAGAAAATAGTGAAAACACAAACTGTGGTTTGAAAGGATGAATATCCTAGCACTGAGAGGCCAAGGCAGGGGAGGATCACTGGAGGTTGAAAGTTCAAGATCAGCCAGGAGAAAGACCTGGTCTCTACCAAAAATAGAAAAAATTAGCCAGGGGGGGGTGGCGCTGTGAATCAAGGAGTAGGGCCCCAGCCCTGTATACCCAGAGTGGTAGATTCAAACTGGCCCTGGCCAAAAACTGCAAAAAAAAAAATAATAATTTAGCCAGGCATTGTGTCCACGCACCTGTAGTTGCAGCTACTCTGGAGGCTAAGGCAGGAAGATGGCTTGAGACCAGGAGTTTGAGGTTGCTGTGAGCTACGAGGAAGCCACTTGCACTGGGCAACAGAGTGAGATTCCATATAAAAAACAAAAACACAAACCCCCCTCAAACCTGAATCTCTTATCCAGTTAGGGATGGTGGTGACAGCTTCTGCTAACAGAAGTAAAACATTAAGTGCTTTCTTGTGCTGGTCAGTGTGCTTAGTGCTTTATGCATATTTTCTCTTTAAGTTTCATGGTAACTCCAAGGGAGGTAATTTTCATTCTTTTCAGATGAGGAAAACTGAGGCTTGGAAAGAAATTCAGTAACCTACTGAAGGTCAGGCAGAGACTGCCAGATAGCTGGAATGTCTGACTCATTCAAGATAGATGATGGACTTTGATCTGCATAATGGCCCTCTTTGAGAGGGACTGGCACCGCAGTGTCCTTTACTGAGTTTAACTGTTTAGTTGTGCTTCTTTCAAGATCTTTTTCAGATCAAGATCTTACTCAGCTGTCAGTTGCTTAAGTTCAGTCTTAAATTATCTACTGAGAGGAGTAGGTGCTTTCCTTGTAATACCCCTTGGTAAGATATGTGACAATGTAAGGCATTATTGTTTGGCTGTTCACTGAGGAAATACAGGAAAATGAAAAGGTATAAAGAGGAATAATAATAGTTAATGCTTATGCTTTATGTAGATTACCTCATTTAAGCTTGACAACAATCCTGTGAGGTAAATACTGTCCCCATTTTATAGATGAGAAAAATTAGGTTTCAGGGGGTTAAGCCTGTTAAACATTTCACCTAAGAGCAGTCAGCTCATAAGTGTAAGAGGTGGAGTTTGAAGCCTGGCGTACCAGATACCATCCTCCTAACCTAAATATCAATAGTAACATCTTTTCTTTTAGATCTTTTTCAGTCACATGTACTGTTTAATAATTATATTTTTGAGTTCATATCGTATATTCAGCTTTATAGTCTGCTTGCTTCACTTAATGGTTTATTTTAATTTTATCACGCCATTAAAAATTCTTTAGATACTAGTTTTAATAGCTATAGAACAGTCCACTTTGTGGATATACTATAAGTTGACACTGTGTGGGTTCAAATCCTGGATCTGACAGTTGCTATGCAAGTTTCATAAAGTACCTCAGTTCACTGATCTGTAAAATGGAGGGTGATGAGATTTACGTTGGTGAGTTCTGAGAGTTAATTATACATGTTATGAAGACTAAATTAATACTTATAAAGTAGTGCTTCTTGAACTGTCTAACTGGGGAGGTTGTTAAAGTACAAATTCCAATTCAGTAGATCAAGGGTGGGGCCCGAGATTGTGTCTTTCTGTTAAGCTTCTGACTGATGTGCTATTTGTCAAGTTGCAAGAAAAATAAAGTACTTAATAAGAACTCAGTAAATGTTGCCTCTTTGGGTTGTTTCAGATCAGCAGCTCTTAGAAGCGGTGTTGTGTTGACTCAGCCATTGCCCATGAATCTTTTCACTGGTGACTGCCCTAGGCTAAGTCCTAGAAATGGGATTACTGCAACTAAAATTACACCATGTTGCTTCCTTCTCTCTTTACTTTTTTTTAGTCATGGTCTTGTCTCTTGAGTGTAACTCAAGGATTACTAATTTGTAGAATTTTAGCACTTGAAGGAACCTTAGATGAGATCATTTACTAGTGAAACTAAGTCTCCCCAGCTCAACACCTCCCCATCTTTCCATTTGGAAATACATGTGAGGGCAGGCTATTTGGGCTGTCACAACTGCTGGGAATAGTTACCAGCATTTAAAAGGCAAAGGCCAATGAAGCTTAATGCCTTCAGTGTGGGGGACATTTCTGTTTAGCTAAGAATTGTCCTTCCCCCCAAAGCCAGG